CTAGCTCACTGTTGATAAGTTTTATCAAAGGCACCAATTCAGCCCTTTTGAGGAAACCCCGATGGCAAGAACCAAACCATGGGTAGTTGTCAGCTGTTTCAAGTTTTATGTCTAGATCTGTTAAAATATCATCCCAATTTGAAGTTCCCCGGAACGCAATGTAAATTGCCCGATCGTCGTTAACTTCTGCCAATAAAAACTGACATGCAAGGTGTTTACTTACAAGAATAGATTTGAAGTCGTGTGATGGACATTTAGATGCGTCTTCAAGAAAAGACTTTGGATCAGCCTCATAGGCGGCTTGTGACAGAACCAAACAGTTTTGGAGAGAATATTGGTCAACATCTGGTGTACTGAACCATGGTTCCCTTTCAGATGATGCCCATGAATATATACCAAAAAGAATTTCTTCAATTGATGAATAGAGACTATCTTCGCTGGAATCTTCCGGAGAAAACAATAGACTGTTGGTGGAAGGTCTCAGTCGAGTAGGGACTTCGCTTTCAAATCGATGTTTCCGATGTGAACTACTTTTCATTCGCTGCATCTCCGTTGCACAACAGCACTATGATGAAACGTACTTCTGAATTCTAGCTCAATCAAAACCTATTTTGTCGTTATTTTTCAGCATTTATCGTTTTGTAGTCGTCAGATTCTTCATGCGCACGTTCACAAAATTAAAGGCTATGCCAATCAAATGAATTATGCGGACTAAAATCAAATGAACACTGGCTCATGATTCTGATTATTGCTGGTTATTTTTTAGCAGTTAACTTTAAAGTATATCTTAACTTTAGCCTCTTTTTATGTTCACAAATCATACCAACAGAAAGTAAATCAAAAAGAACCAATGTTATGTAATAAGTCTGCGCTGCTAGTTTATTGGCGGATCAGTAAAGTCTCTTTGAGCCGTTTCAGATCATTTTGAGCGCTCTTTGCAGCTAAAAAAAACTTTTGCTTATTGTTGGAGCAGCACAAAACGTTATCGTCTGAGTAATCCAAAAAAGTAGTATGAGAAAAGTTTCAAATTTTTGAACATTTTATGGATGCAATGAATTAGATATTGGACTGGTACAGTTTCAAAAGCTTAGCGTTTGCAGTACAATTACAGAAGCAGTTCGCATCACTTCAAATAACATTCAAATTGATTTAAACTGGCCCTTTTATTGAAAAACATCTTTTTAGAACTAGATTAAATGGTGACAACTAGTTCCAGGAAAATCAGAAGTGAGGTCTCATGCTACTAAAATAAGTTTTGTAAACACATTATTTTGCTAGAGAGTGTTACTCGAAACTCAATCTTTACGATTTTTTTTTGTAAAACAATGTTGGCTTTCAAACTAATTTTAAATACTGTTGCAGTATAAAGAAGAGTTAAATAGCTATTTCACTTGAACCAGCCACCTATTTTATTATTACCATACAGCAATAAAGTAAAAAAAGAAAAGCCGTTGTGACGTTTTTCTTATTTTTCTTGCACTTTAATTGATCACGCTGTTTTAACTATTAGCTACTCTGAGTGACATATACCTACAATACGCACAAAATTCAGGACCCTTGCAGTTTTTTTGAACGTCTTTTCCCAGGTTTTACCAAAAACTATTTTTTCAAAATCGACCACGATAGAAAACGCTTCGAGTAGAACTATTCTGTGAATTTCTCCAATATCAATATCAAAAGAGCAACAAGTATTGTCACTAGACAAAATTCCGCATAATGACCTCATTCATAAACTCTGTCATTCCAATTTATTTATAAATTATGTACAATTTTTTGTACATAGGAAAGTAGTAAAACTAAGGAAAGTAGACAACCGTATTTTAGGGTTAATTTGGAACCTGAAATCAGCTGTTTATTGCAAGTATTCAAAAATGCTTCAGCGGTCACGAATTACTCTGCGCAGGAAAAAAAAAATGGTTTTTGAAGTCACGTTTTTCATTTATTGAACATTTTTTAGAATCTTGACTTTTGTTAAAAACTACCTTATCAAATCTGAGATAAAGGGTTCAAGCAAAAACACCAGTGACGAGAAACTTTCCTGCAAATGCAGCCATCATAACTTTTTTTTACAAAAAAAAAGGTTTTCCTGTCAAAATAACAACATCTTTTGTGTTTCAATAAATGAAAATTGAGAGCCCAGCCAAAACTGGAATTACCCAATTGATGTTTTTTGAATTTGTTATACTGATGCGGAATGAGTTAAGTAATTTCAAAATTACAAAAATAGTGCTTTGCCCAAAAATTTACTTGTTTGATAAAAAATAACACTGGCCACTTTTGCAGAAAAAATTTTCGAGATGGGTTCTTTCGAGTGAACCCTTCATCTAAGACAAGGTCGTATTTAAAAATTTTTCTAAAACACGGTCAAAAAATTAAAAACGTGACTTTCTAAAAATCATCATTTTTTGAAAAAAAAGTAGCAAGTGGCTGCTCAAGCAGAAATTATTCGCAAAACAGAGTTTCTCGATTGAACACTTAACCTAAGAATTGGCTGGCAACACTTAACCTAAAAATTGGCTGGCAACACTTAATCTAAAAATTGGCTGGCTAGTTTTCGAGAGAAGTTTCCAAAAAGACACCAACTTTAAGGCTTTGACATTTTTGGTGGCCATTACTTTTTTGAAACAAACTGGGAGTGACCACTTATTCGGGTTGGCTTTCAACAACCTGCTGCTCCGATTAAACGCTTGATGTCAGAATTGGCAGGATAGTTATCAAGAAAGGTTTCCGAAGAACGGTCAACAAATCAAAAATTTGTTTTTTCCAAGAATCGAAGCTTTTTGAGTATCCAAATTTGGTCAATGCCGCTTAGGCAGGGAAACTTTCCAGAACCCATTAATTCCATTCAAATAAAAATCTCAGATTTGAGAGCGTAGTTCTCGAGAAAAGCAAAAACCCTACAAAAAACGGCCAAAAATCGAAACTATCCGAGGACCAAAACTCTTCGTAAAAAAATTTGGATCAAGCCGCTCATGTAGAAGAAATTCTAGCAAACCAATTCTACCCATTAAACTCAAAATCTTAGATTTGGCAGGTCGGCTTTCGAGAAACAAATCCAAAAATATAGATCGAATATTCCCCCAGAGCTTTTTTCAAAGACTGTTAACAAGATGTGGTAACTAAGCCGACAAAACATAAGCAGACGAATCATAAGTCGACAATTTTTGGAAATGGAGAGTTTCCCATTGGAAAAAAAGAAGTCCTATTCAGATTCGAATCGAACCTGGTACCTTCGCTGTCCCAGGCGTCTTCTTTACCTCAAAACTAAGTGTGCAGGAGATTCTCAAAAATTTGAATTCATTATGAACCATGATACTAAGTGCTCCTGTTCAGCATATTCTTTACCCAAAAAAAATCTACATTGTGATTTGATAGCGCTCGCTAATCGCAAGCATAAGCAACGAAACAGATATGATTGTTTTGAAGTTTTTATAGCCACCCTAAATTATCTTTTGAACTTAAGTCGTAATAATTTTACACCCAGTTTATCAATTTTTTATTTATTGCAAGCTTTATATCATAGAATTGTGAGCTAGCAAATAGACAGTGAGATGGAAAAAACTTAGACGAAAAAAAAACTTTGAGCAACAATTGTTTTTTGGAAAGACGACAAATTAAACTTGAGATAAACAGACGAGAAATACAGCCACATTTCCAAGCGTTCACTATGACAACAACATGTAGTTTGACATCCATTGATCCGATCACAAAAATTGGCAAAAAAAATTGTTGTCATAAAAACATCAAACTTTTTTTTGAAAATACGAAACGATCTCAGAAATGCAAACGAAAAACACAATCACTAGCATACATTGATCTAATAAAACTTTCCGAGCGTTTACTAGGCCTACAACTTGGGGTTTGACGCCAATCGATCCGAGAAAAAAAGCCAACAGACATTGTTGTCATGAAAATATTGGAGCGATTAAAAAGTTTGAATTTTCAACTTTTCTACTACCAACCAACCTGATTTGTTCAAAACAACAATACTCATTTTTAATTCTTAAATGAATGCAAACTAAGTTCAATATCTACAAAATATGACCCGAAAGCAGTGAGGCAGAAAAAATTTCTGAGAAAAAAAATGCATTAAAAAATATACCAGTTTACAGACTGAGAAAACTTTTTTAGACCTAATGGTCTTTAGACCCGTCTTTATTCACTATGCAAAGTTACATGCATTATGACAAGGTTAGATGGTTTTTAAAAAATAAGTTTTGATATTTTTTGGGGGGAGTAGAAAGAGCCGAAAAGTTGTTTACTGGAAAAAAAAGGCTAGTTCCCAATTACAAGGCACTTGCTCCGGCAAAGGTAAATAGCCTGAATGCATAGCCTCACTCAGCATTGATTGTTATTACGCGTTAGATTTTAAGCATATACAACAAAACTAAGTTTTTAAAAAACTAAGTTTCCCTCACCCTCGTAAAACTAAAAAATTAAAATGTTCAAAAATTGTTCACCAAACATTTTGCATGAAAGTAATGTTTAAGTTTGTTCAACTGTTCACACGTTTTTTTAAAGCTTATATCACTAGAAACCCAGCTATTGCTGGCGGTAACTGTTTGCTATTTTTTGACATTTTTGCGCGGAAGCGGGATGAATTAGGTAATTTCAAAAATTTGGGCTTCATCCAAAACCGTTGTTGCTCTATTAAAACATTAATGAAAATTTTTGTGATTTTGGAATTTTCCCAGACCTAATTTTTTGTACAAATCTTAAGGCGTAGCATCTTAAGCACAGAGGATTCCCACACCCTGTTGCCTCGCTGAAACCCTTGATATCAGATTGAGTAGTTTTCGTCTAAAATGAGATCTACAATATTGAACGATCACACAATGGTACTAAAAACTATGATTCCGAATGCCTAAATTGACTTGAAAACAACTCGCTCCGAGCATAAATAATCCCGTTACTTTCTTCAATATCGATATCAATGTCAACCGAATATTTTGTTAAAAGAGTTCATTAATTATTCCCAAAATTTACAAAAAACTGTTCGCTTTAAACTCGATTAGCAGATAACATTGAGCACACTGCGCCTGCCCTAAGCAATTGTTTAGTTTGTTGGTTAAATCTACCCGAAATTCAAATTAGATTAATCATTAGTCACGAAAAACAACACAATCAAATATTTACACGCCCACTTTTTAGAGCACAAATCAATTTATAACTGCGAAGACAAAACTGACATCTGAGTTTCGACTGAAAGAGTTAATTGTTCAATTTGTTCATTTATAGAATCCAATTGTTCAACTAAATTGGAGGCATCTTCGCAATTCGTCATTTTTACTTCTGGTTTTTCTTCTTTGAAAACTTCAAGAGACAAATTCGCAAGTGAAGAGAGCGTGATCAAGTTCAGTTTTTCAGCTTCGAATAAAGGCTGCTCACTTAGCGACTGTCGTCCATTCTCCTGTTGGTGTTGCAAATAAGAATTCACTGCGTTTGGTACTTGCACATTGAGTCGACTAGAGTCCAGACCTTGGAAGTCCTGAAATGTAAAACAAAAATGACAATGTATACAGAAATAGTATTTTTTAGCTTGGTTTGCTGGATACCCATCCTTGCACCTTTTCTGAACCTTAAAAGACTCAATTTGAGGAAAACATACTTTACCATAGTCAATTATGGGTGTAACAAGTGGTTTTACACGAATATGTATGATGGGCGAGTTCGTTTGAATTATTTAGTTAGTACCCGGAAGATCGATGAGTTATTTCACATCAAAACAAACTTCTAACCGTCTAATGAAAAACTTGCCACAGACTGCTTCCGTCAGGACGAAGCCCTGAATCTTCTTTCTGAGCTTTACAGTCGATGAACTGTTTTTGGTAAACAAAAATTTCATAAAAAATATCAAAACAACGAAACTATCATGATTTTTTTTCGTTTTCATAGCCACCCTAATTTAATTTTTGAACAATGCAAAATATTCTTTAAATTTCAAACCCAGTACATCGAATTTGTTCACAGATTGTTTGAATAATTACACCCAGAGGCGAAGCGGAGCTTCGATCGCTTGCGATACAACGAAAGCGTACATTTGCAAGCTACCAATAGACAGTGAGATGGAAGTACGAAACTATAAATCTCAGAAAAACAGACGAGAAATACAATCACTAGCATTAACCAAACTTGTAGAAACTTCTGAGCGGTCACTTAGCCAACAAAACGTGGTTAGATATCAAGTGATTTGAAAACAAAAAAAATGCCAAAGAAAATTGTTGTCCTCAAAAAATTTTGAGCGATTAAAAAATTTGAGATTTTAGATTTTAACTGTTATACTAGCAACCAGACTTTAACTGTTATCCAGAGTTGTTTTACATATTATTATGGCTAAATGCCTGATGTTACGACGTAAGCTTATGAAAAACAAAATTCTCCACAATAGTTAGTTTTTGAGTTTTCTCACTTTTCGTTGCTTTATGTCAAGGTAAAATGGTTGATTCACATTATATTTCAAATGTGGGGGATTGGAAAAGAGCCGAAAGTTGTTTACAGGACAAAAGTCTAGCTCCCGATTACATGACACTTGGTCTCGCAAGTGTAATTAGCCTGAATGTACATCCTCACTCAGCATCGATGGTTATTTAGCGGCAGATTATAAGCATATACTACAACAAATTTAAGTTGGAAAAAATAAACACAAAAATATGCTACTTAGGCTGAAAAAGCCAACTAGTATTATAACAAAAACTTTGACTGCTGGTATACTGAGCAGTGAACAACACTATCAGTTAGCAGAGTGTGTTGTGTGGGGGAGGGGTAACCCTGAGATATAAATTGCCATAACTTACACTAGGGTCTGCGTTGGCCTTCTTATTCAGTGTGTATGAGACTGAACTGGAGTAGGAGTCGATCTGGTCCAGAATAGAGAGACACTCTTGCATGTTGTCTGCAGTGGCTGCCACTAAATCGGAGTCCACGTCAACTGGGCAGTCATGGCCCTGAAAACAATCATGGCTTAAACGATATAAGAGGTTACGTTCTGGACGCGAAATGGAAAACAAATTCTGGACGAAATAGAAAACAAAATAGCATAAGAATTGTAATATGAGAGATTCGCGTTTTCTATTCAAGCGTGGCGAAGAGGCGAGTTAAGCCAACCCAGAAATCAATCCAACTTGAATGAAGGCAAACTACAGCCATGGGACATACTAGTTGCAACCATGGGATATGGCGTTGGGCGCAGCTACTACAACAGAAATCTTGTTTTGAAGGCGTAAACTAGCGAGTATATCATAGCTAGTTTCGGAGGTGTTCTTGTTGTGGAAATATATTCGTAGCAACACAAGTATTTTGTATTTACGGGCTCATATTGGTTCTTTGGGAAGCTGCTGAGCTTGAATTAGTATTTAAACTGCAGAAATTAGAAACAACATAACTGCTTTTGCGAATCCTATGCATGGATCGAAGTAGACAGTTTTCCAAACAAATAGGTGGAACAGTTCTTTTGTTGGCTTATGTCAATCCTAAGCGCAAAATTACTGATAAATATTTGGCCGTTTTTGACGCCGGACAAATTAACTCATTCGATTTTTATGTCAGCCATTTTTCCGCGGCTTAAATATTATTCCGCGGGAAAATAATAATTTGGGGAAAAAATATCAATTTTTTCACCAACTTTAGTCTCAATAAAAACTGCCTAAATTTAATTTGAAATGATTGTTCTACGTTGGAATTTGAATTGATTCGCCCAGTTCTTATGCGTTGAGCGTCATCGATAAATGCACAAAAGCGCAAAAAATATATACAAGGGTAATTAGCAAAATGACTTAACGCCAAAAATTCATACATGAAACGTTTCAAAAAATTATCACCGGTCAATTATCTTTTTACATTTATGCTCAAGTTAACACTAATTTACAATACACCATTTAGATTTCCCACTGACAGCTTATTCCAGCAATCGAAAATGTACACTGGTTTTGAACTATAAGCTGTTAAACTGTAATAATACACAGCAGATACTATCAAACTTCGTAATTTTAACTCAGATTGTATTGTTACTCGAAATCGTAAATTGTAAATGCAACCTACTTTTTACCGAAGAACTGTAACAGGAAAAAAAAAATGCATACAGAGCGCTTAACGTTTACAACAGTTTCCACGGACTAGAAGTTTTGCCGTTGGCTAGCTCATCCCAATATATCAAAAAACGACACTTTAAAAAAACTTCAGATAACTCTATACAAGGTGCAAATGACGTGTTTGAAGTTTTCTTCTAAAGACATCGTAATTTGACGATAATTTTGTTTTTTTGATACGCAACTCAGTTGATGATTTTTAGTAGTTTCGAGGGTAACAATGATGTAACTTTTGACAATGGTTGTAAATTGAACTTTACTCTGTCCAAGTAGCAGAACAATGATTTAACTTTTAACAATGGTTTTTCAATTGAACTTTACTCTGTGCAAGTAGCAGAACAATGATGTAATTTTTAACAATGGTCTAATTTTGCACTATATTTTGTGCAAGTATTTATACTAGTAAAAAGATAATATGTTGCCCATGAAGTATATACTAAGTAAACTAACTTATTTGTAAAGTCAAGCATTTATTTGCTGCCGTGCCTGGTTATTTGATTTATTCAATGAACTTCTTTTTTTTTCTATCTCCCACGAATTAGTACAAGGTGTACCTCAAAATAATTACTTCGATCAATATACACAAAACTTTTAAGTGCATTAGAGTACCTGCAGTATACCTCAACGCTCGCAAGCATAAAAATGCTGAAAAAAAAATTGTTGCAGTTTATTGGGTATTTCCGATATAAAGTTCCAATATAAAGTTTTTGAAAAAATTATACTTCCTACGTTTGATACGTTTTAAGTTCGTCATAAAAACGGCCCATCGACCGCAATTCTGTCGGCATGTCCTTTTCAGGCCATTAGACAGTATTGAATGCACATTAATGAGGGGGATAAAACACATGCTAAAAATTGTCTGAGAGAAGTTAAGCGATATACAGATACTGTAATTTATCACAGACAATTTAGAGGCTGAAAAATGAACTGATCTTTCAACACACCGTTGCGTGAGTAATTAGAATTTTTCTTCCTGCAATTTAAAATAAACAGTGGACAGATCAATGGTGGTGGAAAAAAAGATAATTAAACAATAAATTGGGGAAAAACGCGCAATTTTGTTACTGTGTGATATGATTTTTATTTATAGTCACAAAGAATCTACAAAAATCCGAGTTCTGTGAGAGCGACAGAAAAGACCATTTTTGTGCTTATGAACAAAATGTAATGAGAAAACACTACAAACTACTTTATTTAAGTACTGTAACAAAAATATATTGGTCACACAGCACTCAAATCTGTGAGGCGACCATTCCTGACAAGCGACAATTGTTAACAGGTGACCATTTGTAACAGGTGAAAATTCGTAGCAAGCGACAATTGTTAACTGGTGACCAGTTGTAACAGGCGACAATTCGTAACAGGCAACCATTGTTAACTGGTGACCAGTTGTAACAGGCGACAATTCGTAACGGGCGACAATTCGTAACAGGAGACAATTCGTAACAGGCGACAATTCGTGACAGACGAAAATACATAACAGGCGACAATTCGTAACAGGTGACAATTGATAAAAGCTGACCATTTGTTAGCAGGTGACCATTTGTAACAGGCGACAATTCGTAACAGGCGACAATTGTTAACTGGTGACCAGTTGTAACAGGCGACAATTCGTAACAGGCAACCATTGTTAACTGGTGACCAGTTGTAACAGGCGACAATTCGTAACAGGCAACAATTGTTAACTGGTGACCAGTTGTAACAGGCGACAATTCGTAACAGGCAACAATTGTTAACTAGTGACCAGTTGTAACAGGCGACAGTTCGTAACAGGCGACAGATCGTGACAGACGAAAATTCATAAGAGATGACAATTGTTAACAGGCGACAATTCGTAACGGGCGACAATTCGTAACAGGAGACAATTCGTAACAGGCGACAATTCGTGACAGACGAAAATACATAACAGGCGACAATTCGTAACAGGTGACAATTGCTAAAAGCTGACCATTTGTTAGCAGGTGACCATTTGTAACAGGCGACAATTCGTAACAGGCGACAATTGTTAACTGGTGACCAGTTGTAACAGGCGACAATTCGTAACAGGCAACCATTGTTAACTGGTGACCAGTTGTAACAGGCGACAATTCGTAACAGGTGACAACTGTTAACAGGTGACCATATGTAACTAGCGATAATTCGTAACAGGCGACAAATCGTGACAGACGACAATTCATAACAGGTGACAATTGTTAACAGGCGACAATTCGTAACAGGCGATATTTCGTAACAGGCGACAATTCGTAACAGGCGACAGTTGTTAACGGGTGACCATTTGTAACAGGTGACAATTCGTAACAGGCCACAATTCGTAACAGGCAACAATTCGTAATAGGCGACAATTCATAACAGGTGACAATTGTTAATAAGTGACCATTTATAATAGGCGACATTTCGTAACAGGTGACCATTTCTAACAGGCGACAATTGTTAACAGATGACCATTTGTAACAGGCGACAAATCGTAACAGGTGACCAATTGTAACAGGCGACAATTCGTAACAGGCGACAATTCGTAACAGGCGACAATTCGTAACAAGCGGAAATTGTTAACTGGTGACCATTTGTAACAGTCGACAATTCGTAACAGGTGACAATTCATAACAGGCGATAATTGTTAACAAGTGACCATTTGTAACAGGCGACAATTCGTAACAGGCGACAATTCGTAACAGGCGACAATTCGTATTAGGCGACAATTGTTAACAGGTGACCATTTGTACAGACGACAATTCGTAACAGTCGAAAAATTGTAACAGGCGACAAATCGTTACAGACGACAATTCATAACAAGTGACAATTGTTAACAGGTGACAATTGTTAACAGGTGACCATTTTGTAACAGGCGACAATTCGTAAGAGGCGACAATTCATAACAGCAGGTTAATAGGCGAACACTGATTCACGCGCAGTATTCCTGTCGTGCCGGATGTAAGCGTATTCTACTTCCCTATACATTGTTACGAATTAGCGCGTGTTACGAATTCTCACCTGTTACGAATTGCGCATGTTATAAATTGTCGCCCTACCCCTCAAATCATAACAAAAAAGAGTGAGTGACTCCTCACTCTTTTTCACTCTTTGCCGAAAAAGTATCGGACAAAAAAATTCCAATTGATTATTTTCAACACCAAGCTATATTTTTTAAAAATTTTCAATAAAGATAGAATTATAATATAAACTACCTTATTATGATGTATCACTCAACCCTCTATGACTGAAAACTAAACTGTTCTATGGAAACAAGGTTAACTCTAACCACATTCTGTTTGAATGTTCTGTCTAACCTTTTTAGCAATGGCTCTCCGGGTTACTTCCATCTGCTTGGAGAGTCTTTTGTGCTCAGTCATCAGTTGTTGGTAAGCTGCATCATACTTCTTCCATTCTGATTCATAGAAAGCTACAACACAACCAAAAAAGCATATTTGCATAGTTGTTAGCTTTTCTAGAAAGCATTAACCCAGACCATCCATTTTGACATTTCACAGATTGACCGAAAAAGTTCACGCCTGAGCCTTTTACTTCGCCCCACTTGCATTCTTTTCTATATATTCAAGTTTTTCACGAAGTCCAGAAGTAATAAAAACCATCATGTAAGTTAATTGCCAATTACACATCATTACCAATCATTTTTGATATAAAACTACACGAGCCAATTAATTTCGATCGAACTCGATGATCCGAATTGATGAAATAACAGTAGCGTGTGTTCATGAATCACTCTAAATTTTTGAACACTTTCACTAGTTAACATACAAATTTGACAACATGTAAACTAATCTAGAAATCAAGACGAACACTAATTTTCTTTTGAATAATAAAAAAAAACTTATGCTCTCAAACTTCGTAGCCAATACGTCTTCGGAACAACTATAAACATGCTTTCTTGTTCCTTATCATTTCAGAGTCACAACTGTGTAAACACTATAAATTGGTTTATAAGTTGACTGCGGATCTATATAACCATACAACTAGGCGAGATCAAACTCAAATTTTATTCGGGGAGGTGTAACTCGAAAATTAGCGCAGATACATGGAATCGAACCGGTGATCTATTGTCTGCAAAATTGACTAACCCATTTTGGACAGAGCATCACTCTCGTAGTACTGACTTAATATCTTCAACTTCGCATCTGACACGCCACTGTTCATCATGTCTACTGAGTTGTCACTAACAGGAGACATCCAGCCACAATCCAACTGTTTCATTTTCTCCTCCAACACAAATCTGGAAAACCTGCGCAAAAAAAGAAAAAATTCGTCGCACTCTCTGAGTATTTTACTTTAGCTAAATTGTTCACATGGACATTTGCAATTAGGTTGGTAAGCAATTACAAGTAATTAAGTTATAAGCAAGCTCCGTTCCATCTATAAACTATGTATAATCCCTGGTACCTGAACTTCTGGGGCTAGGAAATACCCAAGATATCGTATGAAAGGATCAAATATCAACTCTGTTAATCATATAATATACGCAGAATTACTCATAGACGTATTCTTATCAGGGCGGGTTTATGGTTTCATCCGGGGGCAAGCTATACAAGACATGTTTGGCTAATCGACTCTGAAGTTTTAAAAGAGTAATAAAATCTGATATTGAGGGATGAAGCAGAGCTCAAACAAACAGTCAATCTAATCGAAGTAGAAAACCTTCTTTACATTTAGGTTTAACTAAATTAGGCAGCTGAATTCCTTACTACATGGAAGATGGTCGTTATTCAGAATAACAGGAAGGTTAGCTTCTCTGTAGACGATCTCCGCCAAGCAAAATCAACAGTTCATTGAGCAGTGTACATGATTGCTACTGGAAACTCACGATCGTTAGGGAAGTGTGAGAGCTCCTTCTTCACAAATACAAAATAAGCCAGATGGGTCCCAACCAACCCTAATGTGGATAATATAAACAAGTCAGCACTTAAGCCCCTGCTCCTCGGAATACACTACGACAAGAAACAGATGTCTACAGCGCTCAGTGAATTTGTCAAGCAAAAAGTACAAAGCGGCCAAGAGTACACGGGAGCAGAATGACATCCTTTCATTCTACGCGCAAACCCGGAGACGATGAATTTAGAAGAGAAATTTGCAAGCAGATCGGTCACTGGGCAGCTGAAGACGCCACACAGGGCAGTCCTTGAATCAAGCAGGCTTGCCTATCAACAAGGAAAAAGTACTTTGACAGCCATCAACGCGCAGGAGAAGCTCATTCGACTTGAACCCGACGACCGATCCCAGACGGCAGATAGCAGAAAAATACCACATGGGTGTACCAAAATGATGGGCTGAAAGACCATGCCCGTCATAGCTGTTCTAAAAAATTCTTTAATTGACTTTATATAACCTCTCATTACATCAGAAACTTGAACGTCAAGTGTAATAATAGGGGGACGGGGGTTTGCAAAATATTGAGACTGAGCTGACCGAAGAAGAAAATGGACGCATTTTGGGCCAGCAGAGTTGGGAAGAAGGACAGTGACTTCGGCAGATGAGAGAGAGGGGTGGTTGAGAGTCTTGAAGTAGGCGACCACTTCCCTCCTGAAAGGCAACTCCTCATTCCTGTACACCACTGGCCACGTCTGGATACTCTCTGGACTACATTTCACAGACACACAGACAGCAGTGATTGGCATTAATCAAATTATTGGAAATAGAACGGTTGAGTATTTCGACCATTTATTTATTCCCAGATGGATAAATACTCATCGATTGAACGACACTATTTGTTTGTCTTTTAGGTTACACCCTTTAAAAAATTAAAAAATAACAAAATCATAACAAAATTGGATTGCTATCACTGCGAAAGCCAAACCTTGAATCAATTCGGAAAACAAATAACTTTTTGTCATTTGCGCAAAAAACTTGGCAAAGTGTTTGAATTAGAAATGTTTTCAAATTTAGGCTAAACTGGATAAAAATACCCAACAAAGAATGGTCAATTTGATTTGAAAAACCATATCAATAATGAAAGGTTAATTTTATTGTTTATTCGGATCTCTAATTTATTTTCCCCATATTGCAATAGATGGAGATTCGTACTAGGTACAAAATTCACACATGCTTAACCGTTTCATTAGTTCTTTAAAGGGGTGGCAATTCGTTACTAGGTACTTAAAGGGGGGGGGATAGTTAAAGAGATGCGTTTATTTTGATATACAAATGGTAATCACCTGATTGTGCTGATCAAGAAATGGATGATCTTTTCGAACAGTTTCACATTTCGCACATCAAAACTTCTGACTGTAATTGAACAAACATCCTTCAGTCCCAGAACTGCCAAATCTTCAATCAAAACTTCCATCATCAACAAAACTGGAAAAATGGCAGCGAGTTTATAGTTGGAGAGAGACATCTCTTGAGACACAAAATAATTAATGAGTATAACCTGATATAAAATTTTCAAAAAAGGGGTACCAATGGGAAGTCGGCTTACTACCCTGTGTGCATGCATAATTCCCTAGTCTAATTTTTACCTTCCCCTTTTTCTACAGCCTTCGAAAAAGTGTGTGGGGGATTTTTGACCCATTATTTTTGAATTTCTACATTTTTTCAGAAACTACAGTCCCAAATCTGAGATTTTTGGTTCAATAGATAGAACAGGTTGACCGTTTTGGATTTTTTGACCGTTTTGGAAGCTTTTTGACTTTTTCCAAAAACTACCCTCCCATATCTGAAATTTTGATTTCAATTGAACATAGATACGAGTCATGGGAACATCCTCTGCTCTAGGGGCTAAGTCTAAATTTTTATCGAGAAAAGTTATGAGCCTCGGAAAAATCTTATTTGTAACTTTTTGACCGTTTTTCAAACATTTTGACTTCTCTCAAAAAAAGCCTCCAAATCTGAGATTCTGGTTCCAATAGGTAGAACGCGTTGTGGTAAGCTCCACTGCATGAGCAGAAACGCCCGGGCAGAATTTTTACACGTTAAGTTAAAATCTTTTCTCGAAAAAACCTCCCAAATCTGAGATTTTAGGTTCAATGGAAAGAGCGGGTTGTGGGAAATTCCTCTGCATGAGCGGCTATGCAAAATTCATTTATAAAAAAAACTACGCTCTGAAAAGGTTACGCGGGAAAAAACAATTAAGATTTTTTGACCGTTTTTTAAAATTTTTTTAAGCTTTTCTCGAAAAAAAACTCCCAAATCTTAGATTTTGGGTTTAAAAGAAAGAGCGGGTTGAGGGAAGCTCCTATGCATGAGCGGCTAGGCACCAATTTGTCATTATAAAGTTACACGCTAAAAAAGTTACGCGGGAAAAAAAAACAAATTAAAAGATTTTTCGACCGTTTTTTTTTTAAATTTTTCTCGAAAATAACCTCAAAAATCTGAGATTTTGGGTTCAATCAAAAGAAAGGGTTGAAATAAACTCCACTGTATAAACCGTGACGTACAATTTTTCTAACAGAGAAATTAGGTCTGTGCGAAAAATCCAAATTCTAAAAAATCCTTCCATATTTTATTACAGAAAAAGCTAAGGTTTTGGGTCAATTGCAATTCTTGAGTTTTTGAAATTACCTATTTCGTCCCGCAAAAAAAAGATTGAAAAAATATCGAACATGTATCTACAGCCTTAGCTGTATATTCAAATACTTTAAAAAAAAATTGAGATGCAGCAGTTGCGGCAAGTTAAACCCAGGAAATTGTTATGTTTAGCCATTATATGTCAGAGAGAAAAATGTGTTTTTCTTATAGTAACTAGTGGCTCAGCTAAAGCAAGAAGTTCCTGCTCGCTAAATTGAAAGAGCAAATACTGGTGCGAAAAGTGATGCGTTATTTTCAAAAAATTTCAGAATGTCAAAAATTGGACATTTTTTAAGTCCATGGCTCATTCCCTGTCGAAAATACAGACTTTGCAGGCTTTTGGAGAGGATATTTTACAAAAATTTTTGTTCGATTTTTTTCTCAATCTCAGATTAAGCACGGTCGTTTTGGGGACATTGAACGAAGTCGAAATAAGGAGTCCAAATGTCAAATATTCGACATTTTCTTAGTCCATTATAAATAATTCGCCAAAACTTACGATTTTTTGCAGTTGATAGCACTCAAAATGTCCTTTCGATTGCATCCTCCATCTCAAATTTGGAACTATATTTTTCTAGAATATCAAAATTTTCCAAAATCAAAAACAGGACATTTTTAAAAACTGACAATTTTAAGTCAAAAACTCCTTCATTACAAAAACTAGAGCGCAGCTGTTAGGCAGAGAAAGAGAAAAATACATTTGATCGAACCGTTAATTTCTAATTCGGCGCATGGTTGTTTTCGAGAAAATAAAAAAAATTAAGAAAAAGTCAAAAACGGTCAAAACTTCAACAATTGAACAGGTTTCCAGGCCGTCACGTTTTTCTGCAGTCGACCAGAAAAACAACAAAAATTAGTAAGTTGAATGATTGCACAAATCTTAATGACTTAATTCCAGTACAATTATTCTGGTGATTTCCGGCCACAGATCCTACTGATCGGAACGAATCTTATCAGGTTTAACAGGAAATTACGAAAAATTACCTGGATGATTTTTCACTCATTTGCCCGAACGGTTACCTTCAAATGTCTTTTTAAATCGTTAATAGCAGATTCTTTCAGAATCAACAAAACAATATTTGCCCTATTAATCAATTTCATATCAACTTTTTTTCTATCGAATTCAAAAGGAATTCTTGAGATTAGTAGAAATCTGAAGTTTTCCGATTGCGCTTGTTACTGAATTCCCTCCAAGACTCCCTCCAGCTGATTTTGCGTTATTCGTATTTAACTTTTTTACTGAAAAAAATACGAAAAAATCAGTTGCTTTGAAGTAGATAGTGCTCGAAAATCACCAAAATAGTCAAACCATGGGCAAAACTTTCCGAAAAATTTCATGTAAACAGTTTTCTCTCAACGCAGCCCAATTCGAGTAAACCGCCGCAAATTACACTACCGTACAAATAAATTGCTATGTTACTGTATTTATCCATAAAAAAACAATAATCAATCAGAAATGCTTGTAGCGACCACGAAAAAACTCAATCCCTCGTCAATCGATATTTCCGTCAAATATTGTCAAACAATTAGCACAGAATGTTCCCGAAAGCTTTGACATACATTTTTATCATAAAATAAGTAAAAAACCAAAAAAAATTACAAAAATTATCGAAATGTTTTGTCAATTTTCGATGACTAATTTGACTTGAATAAAACATAAATTGTTAATTTTATAAGTTAAGTTTAAAACTAATAATCCACATAGGCGACGCTAAGCTCCGCAAAAGCTAGAGACAACACGACAAGTTGGCAAATCTTCCCTCGTCTTCGCCGAGCCAACACCACATCTACGATGTGCCAAGCGGAAGAACAACTTTCCCTCACACCTGACGAGTTTTTGTCAATGCACTCAAAAGTTGCCCTCCTACGAGTGCCCAGAAGGTGTTGAGCAGAACCCGGGTCCGAAGTTCCCTGTGGTACTTGCAGAACAAATTGCAAACACTCCTGTCTACAACGCACTACTTGCAAGAACTGGTGTCATTTTCAAGTCTGCGAATGTGGACCTCTACACAGCCAGGCGGATCTACTGGTACTACTCCACCTGCAAAATCCAACCGCAAGCGAACCTCACATTTAAGACAGCTCCCAAGACCGACATCAAAGTCCTCCAACTGAACATCAACGGCCTCAGAGGAAAACCACCGAGCTCGCCCTGCTTCTCCACAGCAACAAAATGTACCCCAAAGCCCCCAGTCCGAAGATAGACGCTACTCTATCATCCGCAGAGATCGTACGAGAAACGGAGGGGGAATAGCTACTATCATCAACAACAATGTCAAGCTTCGCGAAGTTCAGGTAAGACAGACTGGCAACACTGAGCTGCTTGCAGTCGAATTGTACGTTCGCAACCAGACTTTGAGGCTTGTCTACATCCCTCCAGAAAAGCCCGAGCACAACTTCGACAGCATAACCAACCTGACCACACAGCGCTAGCTATGGGAGGCGCCAACGCGCCCAACGGACTCTGTCATTCTCCTATCGAACAAGACACTAGAGGCAGCGAGATCTCAGAGGGGTTGTCTCTCAGCAACCTGGTTTTCGTCAATGAAAACTGTCCGACGAGGCTTCCTTTCAGCGACAATAGGCCGTCCTCGCCTCATATAACAGCAATCACTGATGACATTGCGCTCTTGACCAGCTGGCACACCATCAATAACAGGATGAGTGACCATCTCCTTTTACTAGTCACAGTGGAGACAAACGACGTCAGAGTTGGAGTCAAACACCAGCACAACTGCATTAGGAACATGAGAAAAGCCGTCGAGGAAAGGTCGAAAAAGAACTGGACGATGCAGTTTCGGCATTCCTGGAGCCGACCACCCCCGAAGAAAGCGAGAAACACCAGTAGTATTGTAATCCGCCGTGTGTCCTTAGGGGGGGAGGTCTTTTCGACGGTAAGGGGTCTTTGGGGTCCTACCAAAAGTAGGGTCCAAAAGGACCCATCTTTTTTAAAGACCCCAAAGTACCCTGCCCGAAATAAAAAGACCCCTCTCTTAGGACACCCGACAGACAAAATACTTTGGTATTTATTTTCGCGCGGTGGTTAAATTTAATCCCTTCCAAACTTTCCCACCACTAAATAAGTATGGGTATATCCGGCTGCGGTTTTTTCGCTTATTTTTATCTAAAAGCTAATCCTTTTCGTTCATATAAATATGAGCTTACATAAAGTACCATTCATATTTCCTTTTAAAAATTTTGGGTAATTATTGTTCGTTTCTCTTTCTTATTTTATTTTCAAACTTATTTCCAAGTCTCCCTTAATTTCGACTTGCACCATTTTGATTCTTTTAGCCTTACTATTAGCTTACTTTGGGAAACTTCGCTCCTGCTTCAATCCTTCGCTCCTGCTTCAAGGGTAAGTTGCAATTACCAGTCTCTTTTGCGCCGGTCTATTTAACTTAAAACAATCTTTGCTGAATGTTTTATATTTACAAATGTACAGCCGTAGTTCCAAGTAACAAGGCAATTTAGCCGACATTTTCAAATGAAAAATTTTATTGATCAACTTTATCAAGTTTTCTCCTTTTTTTCTGACTAGAACGAACAGACGCTTCTGTTAGAATGAATGGATTATTGATAGGCGGAGGGTCTCTTGAACTGCTAGCTGCGCTTTCTTCTTGAAGCTCTTCCTCCGTATAGCTTTCTTGAAGAAAGCCCCAATCTGGGACCCGGAATTCCGGCGATTGCCAGCTTTCGCTGTTTTCGCTGCTATAAGTCGGGGTATTTGTCAACTGTGAGTTTGCCCACTCGCTTTCTTCCGCAATGGCCTCGAAGAACACATTTTCTTCTGTAGACCTGTGTCCAAAGGGAAATGTAGCTATCCCGTCGAATAGTAAGAACCGCTTACTA